TATATATATAGCACCCGGCCACATCTAGTCCTGCCTACTGCTTTCTGGATTGACAACACTGTCTCCATTGCAGGAAGCCAAACCTCCAAACATTTTTTCGTCAAAGAAGTACATTTACTAATGTACCCCTGTGACCCACAGACCCACAGTCAGCATTTAGAAAGCTATTGCCCGCTGTTTGCTGATAGCCTAGAGCCGCACTGCAGCGGGGAAAGATCCTGACAATATTGCTGCCTGATTGACAGCTGGCTCTGCCTCTGTAGAGCCTAAGCCAGCTGTGCCCACCCCTCCCCTTCATTCAGATTTCCCTGCTGAACACCAATCCTGGGGGTATTTTGCTACACTGAGACTAATCCTGGGGATATTATGCTGCCCTGAGACAAATCCTGGGTGTATCTTTTGCACTGACCCCAATCCTGGGGGTATTTTGCTGCAATAACATCAATCCTGTGGGTATTTTCTGCACTGACACAAATCTTGGGCGTATTATGGTGGACGGAAAATCTTTTTCTGTGCTGACACCAATCCTGTTTTTCTTTTTTGTGTGTCTGTAAGACTCTCATTTGTACCACTGTAATTAAAGAGTACAAGGTCTGCAGCATGGGTGTCTGCTATTTAGTTTCAACACTTTTAAACCACTCCCAATATTCAGAATAATTTAACTACCCCCACTTTCTGCCTTAGCACGCCACATGTCCTAATTTCTCTGAGGTGTCCCTAAAAGTTGTGAGTATGGTGGGTGTTTGGAAGGTTGTGAGGCCCTATCAGGTAGGTTGTACAGTGCCCCTTGATTTCTAATGGTGACTCTGTTTGGCACTCTCAATTTCTTACAAACATTTTTCGTCACAGTAGGTTTAAAAGGTTGCTTACCCTTACCTTAGCACAATGGCACGGACAGAGGCAGTGGGAACTTCAATGTAAACTGTAAGAACAGATCCCCTTCCAACACCTATGCTCCACCACCTGCAGACCGTTCATAACTAACCAAACACACATACACTTTTATGACTCTTCAGAACAACTCAGGAAGCCAAGTAAACATTTCTACAATTTTTCGAATTATGGACTCTATTAATTTTACAAGGATCCACATATTATAAATAAATTCAGATTGTTTTAGTGCAATCTAACTAAAACTTTGTTGCTGTTGAATTTTGTATTCTTTTTCAACACTCACCAGTTTCCCAATCTCTTCATGGGCTTGCTTTAGCTCCATTTTGATTGCCAGTATAGCTTCATTTTTGTCATTAATCTCTGTCTGCAGGTGCTGTAAAGATATAAACCTCAGTTTACATATCAACTGAACGGCAGGGATATATTTAAAATACCAAATATAACTATATATTCATTTAACAGTTATACAAGGGTATTTCAATGCAACTAGTATAACTACCTGAATTGTACTGTATACCAGAATGGAAAAGGTAGAAACAATACTAGGAGACAGTCAGCAGTGTTCCAATATACATGTGCTCACAAGTAGCATGCTGATAGTAAAAGAAAGCAGAGTGAGCACATGAGGAACAAAGTGATCTACCTCCTGCTGCCCATCCTCTGTCCAATCACAGGCTAAGGAACTGATAGGTATGTGGCAGTGCTAGGGAGATCGCTCTTCAGAAGATTAAGTCCTGGATGTGTGGTTAGAAGTGCCTATTAAAAATGGTCATGTCGCAGGAAGATTCGTTTGAATTGTTTATTTGAACAGAAACGTCAGGTGGTTGCCCTCACTGCAAATACCTCATGCTGACACTCAGCCCTAATCCAGCCCTGAATACAAAATGTGCAGTTCTTGCTGATGCCATTACATATTGTTTTTCAAGCCCAGAAGAAGGGGGTGTCCTATTCCCCTGAAATGTGTTGGCTGTATCTGACATCTCTGTTCAAACAATTCAAACCTTCAAGCAAGATGACCAATTTTGAATAGGTACTCCTAACCACACATCTAGTCACAAGCTAGGGACAAGTATTGTAGGTGAGCCGGCTGTATTTTTTGAGAAGGAAAAAGGGACACATTATAGCACAAAGTATGTAGGCAAAGCGCACACCTCTGACACACCTCCAGTTACGTCGACCATGAAGATTTAAAAAATGATTTGTTGATTTAATCAGAGCCTTAATTCTCATTTTCCTTACCCTGTTTTTTTTTTTTTTTTTAAGTAACACATTAAATCATTTAGGGGTTAACTGAAAGGTTTAGTGTTGTAAAAACATTTTTAAAAGTTAAATAGTACATTTGAGGTCAGACCAAAAAGAGGGACAACTGAAGGAAAAAGAGGGATTTAGCTCCAAAAGAAGGACAAATCCTTCCAAACGATTGGAACATTAACATTATATTTTCAGAGGTATGCTGTATTGCCCAACATCAATTGGCGGAAAGTCAGATCACAACCTTGGTGTGTTGTCTTGCTAGGGTGCTGTAAATCTTAGGGCTGGCTGAACAGGAATGCAAATTTGCTGGCAGTTAAAACATCTATATGTATTTTAACTGTATATTTAGCCGTTTGCCTGGAGTTCAACTTTAAGAGAAAATTGCAATTCACATATAAAAGGGAATTCTGGCTTTGTGTCAGTTGACTATGTTGATGCCAAATATTGTATGCACAAATACAATGTAAATTTTACCTGTTGAACAAAAGAACATCCAAAAAGTAAATATACCTAATAAAAACCTTGTGTATACATGAACAGTGCAAATGGTAAAATATCAAAAAGAATCAAATCCAAAATAAAATAAAAACATTAGAAAATGAAGGGGTAAATACTAAGAGTTGTATACCAACACAAAAGATATGTAATGTGACTGCAGCCGCTGTTAAAAAACAATGCAAACAGCGGCATCCCTCGATGTAAAACAGCACTCTAAAAATGCTGAGCACTGGTAAGCAGGCATACACAGAAAGGTAGGGATGCACCGATACCGGTTTTTCAGTATCGAGTACGATACCAAATAACGATACCAGAAGTCCTATTAAGGAAACCAGGCGGCTTGTAATGACCCGCCCCCAGCTACCTGATTAGCCGGGAAGCTGTCTCCTGTTTCTGGTCAATCAGGAAACTGGGCGGCAAGTCATTACATGCTGCCCGGCTTACTGATTGGCCTGGAAGCCAGCTCCATGCTCCCTGGTCACAAGGGAGCATGGAGCCGACTTCCCGGCCAACAGGAACCCGAGCGACGTGCAACGACTCTCCGCCTAGCTTCCTTATACCGGAAGTTCCAGTATCGGAAGCATTTGGGCGAGTATAAGTTCTCGGTCAAATACCTGGTATCTTCACTGATACCTATATTACTATCGGTATCGGTGCATCCCTACAGAAAAGTCATACATAAGCATTCAGTAAAGAGCCATTTGGTGCTGTTGACAATTAGCATTTATGCACAGTGGAAAAATTGAATTACCATTTTTAATACATTCATCATCTTTGTTTCTTGAGTGGCTTCTCTGTATTTCTTCCAGGCTTCCTACAAGAACAATATTAACATTATATCTTGAAACAGAACATAGCAATTATAAGTTAGGAACTACTGGAGAGTGAAAGTTGACCTACAGCAAGGTATGAAGTATGTCTGTGTAACAGTTGATAAGGTTTGGTGCAACACAATCTGCCAAAAATATCCTTGTGTATTGATGAACAATTCACTGAACATGGTCGTTAAAGGAAACTTGTGCTAAAAGATAAACAGGAGCCATCAGTAGGATTTTTGTAGTCACTGTGAAATCCTTTACTTTTGATGTCCACTGAGAGACACAGTAAATCTTTAACCTTGGGGTTATACGGACTGGGGAAGCTGTATAGGAGACTCCCTAGAAAAAAGGTGTTTATCAAAGATTGAGAAAGTCTCTGAAATAGAATAGAAAGGGCATTTATGCCACAGAGAAACTCCTTAGGTGGAAGCCCCAAGACACACAAGTGAAGCATGCCTTACATGACTAATGATAGACCTTACAAGAAGTAGATTTCCTAGCGTTTAGCAACATAGGAATAACAGATTCAGAGATGCACCTGTCCCTCAGATTCTGGGCTTCAACAGACATGCTGTTAAAGCCCGCAACCATGCATCAGGATGGCTGATCGGCCTTTGCGACAGAAGGTACTGATAATCTGTTAGAGCCCACAGAGCATCTACCAGAAGTCTTAGCAGATGGGCATACCACATCCACCTTGGGCAGTCCAGAGCAATGAAGATCACAGAAATGTCCTACAAAACCAGCAGATGAAATTGGGGGGAAGGAAAGGCATAGATCAGGGTGTATTGATCCCACAAAGCCCCCAAAGCATTCACTGTTTCTGTTAGATGATCCCTGTACTTGGAGCCACCCTAGCCAGTTTGCTGTTAAACCTCCTGAGGTAGTCTGCCTCCTGAGGTAGTCTGCATGCCAATTGTCCAAATCCGGAATGCACACAGGTGACAAGGCAGAAAGGTGTTCTGAAAAGTTCTGCACAGGAAAGGATTCAATCTACTTCTCTTGCTGCAGCGAGACTTCTGTTTTTTCCATGATGATTCATGTACATTACCATCATGGCATTGTCCAACTGAATCTGGATCAGATGGTGATCCCACATTGTAAAGACAGACAAACCATCCACAATTCCAGGATGTTGATCCAGAGAGGAGACCCATCCAATGACTAAGTTCGCTGCACTGCAAGGTGCCCCAATTGGTCTGTCAAGAGACCAGATCTACTTGTTCCAGAGCTACAGAATATTGCATTGTAGAGGTCTAGAGTAAATATGGGCCTCGAAAGAGACTACCATTGGACCTAGGGCCCTCATGCAAAAGCAGAGATTCAGACGATTCCTGGACTGGAGAGTTTAAATCTGAGACCAGAGTAAGAGAAGCTTCTCCTGTGGAAGGAATTCTCTGGTCTGGACGGTTTCAGCAACAATTTCTGAAGGTTTAGGATATATCTAAATTGTTGCAATCTCTTGATCTCTTGGTCAATGTAACATTGTCAGATAGAGCCTGTAAATAATAGAGACTAATATAATAGATACTGTCCCCTTAACAGGAGGTCATCCCATTACGGGGATGCCATGAGAATGCAGCGGGCCCAGCACTGGGGCCAGCACCTTGGTGAATACCTGAGGTGCAAACGAGAGGCTGAGGGGAAGGGCCACAAACTGGTAGGGGGGGGGGACACACAGCAAACACTAATGCGCTTAAGAAACAGGGGCATGTAAGTAAGCATCTTTGATGTCCACCAAAGCCAAAAGTCTCCCTGGTGAAGGGACACGATGACAGATTTGGTAGATGTAATGCGGAATCTGTAGACTTGAATGAAGACATGATCTTCACTTTCTTAAAGAGCTACAGTGGCTAAAGAATCTTCAGTATCAGACATTCTTCTGGGAGTGTCAGACATGTGATGCCTCTCTGCTCTATGGCTCCATCTGCTGGCACTACTGTGGCAACATGTAGACCCTAAAGTCTGGGCCTTGGATGTAGCCATGATAGAACAAATATATATGCAGTTAACATATGGCAACTGCACAGCAGCGCCATTGTTACTTTAGGCACATTATTTTCTATCATTGAATGAATAACTGATGCTTATTTGTGTAATATCTCTTCATACTTTCGTTTTTTTGTTTGTTCCTTCTAAGCTTTACCTATATACCGTTTATCTTTCATGTTTTTTTTCTTTCTTACTGTTTTCTGTATTTACTTTTCCTATTTATATTCTGCACTTCCCATTTCTTCTGTACCACTTGTACTCTCCTGTGTTAATTTGCAATGTATCATTTATTTTCTGTTTATAATTTCTTTATTTAGTTTTTTTCTCTCCCCTGTTTGCAAGTTCCCACATGTATCTCCCTTCTCTTTTTCAGTTTTTTACTATTTCAGTATCCAATGTCTTTTTGCACCTGTTTTCCCATTCCAGTTTCCCCAGTAAGAAAACAGAACCCTGTGTTTTAGGTTCACCTACTGTGACAACTATTACCCACTATTTAAATTGTACAGTTATTACAGTATGCCTGGCCACGAATCTAATATGGAATATGTAAAGGATCTATAATTGCTAGATATGCATTGCTTAGATCTAAAAGAGGCACTTTCTTGCTTTGCTTCAAGACCTTACCTCAATATGTGCTTCATGGCTCTGTTGTATCATGGCTTGTTCTTCCAAGGCTCTTTTCTGTATTTCTTTTTTCTGCGTCTCAAACATATCCAGCAGTGATTGCCCTGTATCACGAAGAATACAAAGCTTTTCATTTCAGCCATGAAGTTGATGTTGTGTACAAGAAAGACATTTTTTAACAGCTATTTTCTCTTCATTGGTCTAACAGCTTGTAGGGCACCAGGGTGTAGAATCATGCTAATGGATTATTGTGCATTACACCATATGTGTAAGCAAGTATGCCCATAAGAATGTACACAAGTATACATGTTCATATACAACTGTACGCTTGCAATGACCAGTCTATTAGTAATAGCCTTTGTCACAAGGGCACATTCTGCACACATTGAGTGCCAGCGGATGACTGCTGTTATTTGACAGTTGTCCTGTGACAAAACAATATTCTCTAAATATCACTTTGTCACTCTGTAGAGGATGACTACTGCACTGTGGTGAAGCACACTGTAATATTTGATAGGAAAACAGCTAAAGCCAGAATCACTCTGGTTAAAGAGTCCTTACATTTTAGTGCAAGGTCTGGTTTACCAAGAGTACTTCTGGTCTGAAGGCTTTAGCTAAGTTTTAATTACATCATGCCCCCCACCTCCATGCCAAAACACTGCATTATAGCTGTAAAAAAAGTGTGTAAAAAAATGTTTAAAATATATACTTACCTTTCATCAAGCTTCTGCAGTGGGAGAGTGACATGAAGAACCTTCCAATGAGATCCTGGGACTGGGAAATGTCTAAAATCTAATTGTTCCCAGGATCTTGCTGTAAGGATCATGGCATCACCCTGGCCTGGGTTCTGTGGGCAGAAGCAGGGTGAAAGGTAAATATTTTGTTTCTAACTTGTCTTTACATGTTTTTGTTTTACAGGTATGGGCGTTTCTTCATGAAGGGAGGGAGGGGGGGCTTATTTTAGAGCAAGCTCTGCTTTAAAAGAAACAACAAAATACCTATATGCTGTAAATGAAGGGAAAGCAACATTGTATCAAGTAAACAGTAAGACGTTGCACCCAATTACAGTTCCTACTTTTTGTGCTCTGGTGTGCAGTTATTTAAAATCTGATTGGTTGGCACAGGTTACTGTACCTTGCACCACTGTAGTAAATAGGCTGCTGTATTGTCCACAATTATGTGTTTAACAAGCAGACAAAGGATAGGTAACCTTGCTGTAAATTCAATACATAAATATAAAATCCAAGGAACAACTGCACCAAGCACAATTATCTTTACCAGTATCTTTACTGGTCATATAATATAATCCCAATGAAGCCTCAGCAAAAAAAAAACCAACCCTTTCTTCAAACAAAAACACTGTTGTTGAGCCTGCTCACTGCAATCAGAAGTCAGCCATGCTTCTCCATTTTTTTTTTTTGACTGGCTGTCTGTTTTCACATTGCAGCTTGGGGTCATATAATGTAATCCCAGTGAAGCCTCATCAAAAAACAACCCTTTCTTCAAACAAAAACACTGTTATTAAGCCTGCTCACTGCAATCAGAAGTCAGCCATGCTTCTCCATTTTTTTTGACTGGCTGTCTGGTTTTACATTGCAGCTCAGGGTCTAGCAATGTCTTATCTGAGGCAAACATACAAACCTCCATGGAGGTAGCCATGGTAAGTTTCTTTTACATTATGTGTTTATGTTATGTATATTTGCCTTTCATCTACCTGCTATCTTTCTATAACTCACTTCTGCCTCAAGCAGACTTGACAGCTGCGTCATTTGGGAGTGTTGGAACCTTTTGTCACAGTCCTAAGCAAATACGTTGTTTTCTCTTTATTTTCAAATGCAATACCCAGATGTAGCTCTGAATGCAAGCCTCTTCACATTATTATCAACTATTTAAAATATAGTGGCAAACAGGGCAAAACGAAGCAAAAGCAAGAATATCTTTTAGATTTCTGCAGTTACAGCTTCTGCCCAGTCTCTTGCCAGTTCCCAAATCGAAGAGCTTACAATTCTCTTTTACGATCCAAGCTTCTCTGTCAATCATTAAGATGCAATGCTTGAACCAGCCATATGAAAGCTGAACAAGAGAAACGCAATATATTCCTCAATTCGCGTTAAACAGCATAAATGGATGAGTCTTCCCTGCTGACTATTGTGTTCAGGCAGCCATGGAACCCATGGCTGCCTGAATACCCGAACAGTGACTTTATCTGATAGGAGGCTGTCATTGTTCAGCAGATAATTTTCCACCCAGCTCAGCTGATTTTTTAATCAACTTTTTTGAGCCAGGTGGTGCTGGAAGGGCCACCCATGGCTCACAGTTTGGACAATTCAGCAGAAATTGGACAAAATTTGAGCCGAGTATGGCCAACGTTAGGGCTTGTTCACATCATCCAATGCGTTCAGAGCAGGTTTCCATGCCATGAACACACTAGATTGCATAAACAAAGACTCCCAGTTCTGGGGTCGGAGGTGGCGTGGCGGTGCCATTCATGTCATTGGCACGGCAGACACACCTCCCGCCCGCTGTGCATTTGCCCACAACGCAACACGTAGTACCACAATGCTCCAGTGCTCCAGTGCAGTGTGATCTCCAAAAAATTGCGCATGCACTATTTTTTGAGTTTGCCCCGCACTGGAACACATGGCATTGCGGTACTATGCATTCCAGTGCGGTCGATTGCACGGAATGCATGGTACCGCAATGCCATGCGTATGTGAATTGTTAAAAACGCATTGCTTTAACAACACTTTGTAAGGAATAAACTTATCTTGGGTATTTTAGTGGAAGAAGAGAGAAGGTGTTAAATGTTTTAATAGTTATTTGTATTAATTCTACTCAGCCAAACAAGCCCAGGCAAGTGTATAGGTTGGCATTACTTTGCTTTGACAGTTCCATCAACTTTTTTTCTTCACTTGATTCTTTCCACTTGGCTTCCTTCTTCAGCCATTCTTCATTCACCTCCTCTGACAGGCTCTCCTGTACAAAGAATGAAGTACATGAAGTCCCATGAGGCATTGCAAGACTGACAGTTATAGGCATGACTCCGAGAGGCATGTTTGGATTTGTAGTTAAAGCACAGCTAGAGGGCCAGAGTTGCCCATCTAAGATTTTAAAACATCTGACCTCATTTTACACTAGTTAGCTTGGCATAGATCAAATTAAACACATTCATTCCATGGAAAAGTACCCCCATGATCTGCTTATCCAAAGTAATGACTGTACTAGTGAACAATTAAATAAATACTCCAGTCAAATATGAACATTCTGCAAAAAAAAAAGATTACATATCTATGCAACTGGTTTATTGTATGACACGCTAAGTTGTGGCACCAGTTTACTTAGCAGGTTGAATGTTTCTTGTTCTACAGAAACTGAGTTTACTAAACCTATTCTGACTCCGATTGTTGTGATAGCGATATATCCCTTGCTGAGACCTCTATGCCTGGCCTGTATAAGCAGATACAATCACTGCGGACAATCCTTATCAGATAGCTGAACTCACCAAATACCGTTTCCATCCACAAAGGTGCTTTATTCTGAACATCAAGTAACAGCAGATGGCAGGATACAACAGATGAATGAATTGCGGTATTTATGCGGTCAAAAGATTATGCTTTCGTAGCGTACTATGTGGAATACACGTGTCCCTGTTGCATGTGGCCTGTTAGCTGTGGCCATGACACAGGAAGTACTGACCAACAAGAAGGGTGGAGCATATACACACAGGAAATGTGTTGTAGATATTAGAGAAAGGAACATAAAAAACAAGTGCATTACCACAAAGGGTCACTATATGGCAGCATATAACTTACTATAGAACGTCCATAGGCAAACTGATCTAAGGAAACAACTATATTAATTCTTATCTAAATAAAACTTTTATGCCCCATTAGGGCGGCACAAAACAATTGAGGCTGGTCAAAGACAGTGCATCATTTTACCTGATAGGTCTTAAAAGAGCTTTTCACTAGATCCAGTTCTCTGTGCAGCTCCTCTGTATAAAGTAATACAATTGTGACAATGTCAAATTTACCAAAATGTAACACTCTATCAAACCTCTGGAGAAAAATTGTAGCTTATCAAATATGATGTACATGCTAACATGTATACATTTGAGGTCAATGATCTGAATATATTTAAAACTTAATTGGAGCACAATGTTAAATGTTAAAAACATTTTCAGTCAGACATAATTGCCGTAGGACAGTTTTATATGGCCCATCCCTCCTTTCATCTGGTTGCCTATGAAACACTTGTAAGCGTTCAGTACTCTGCATAGAGATTTTTCCACTTGGAACATTCCTGTTTCTTAACATTGATGCTTCTCTCACTTAGAAGAAAGCAGGATGTACTTAACCCAGGGGCTCAGTTAGTTGAGCCAAATGGTATGTTGCAGCAGGTCCCAGTGCTTTAGATAGAAGGCCCAAATGTTTTCCCATCCATTGCTTTTAGGAAGGCTCTTACCCGTCTGTAGCCTACTGTAGTAACAATAGTTTTAGCTTTAATATATGCAAAATGTGATAATTTTTACAAAGTATATTATACTATATAAAGTATATGTACAGTATACATATGGTCCATATAGTGAGCTTGGTGCCAAATGATTCACTTTAAGGTCACTGCAAAGGACAAGGGAGAACTCTTTGCATCTGGAGGAAAAGAGGTTTAACCTTTGCATATGGAAAGGATTCTTCACAGTTAGAGCTGTGAAAATGTGGAATAGACTCCCCCCGGAGCAAGTTCTAGCTAGCTCAGTTAATTGTTTAAAAAAAAATCTGGATGTATTTCTAAATGCACAGAATATTACTGGATATTGAGTTCTTAGAGGTATATTAAGCATCAGAGATTGTTGATCCAGGGAATATCAGATTGCCTTATGGGATCAGGAAGGAAGTTTTTTCCCCTGTTGGAGCAAATTGAACCGTGCTTTATAGGGGGTTTTGTTTGCCTTCCACTGGATCAACAATGGGTAATTGTGGGCACAGCGTTCTGCTTAGGCTTTTCTTTTTTTTTTTTGCATATCTCTATAGGTTGGACTCGAAGGACTTGTGTCTTTTTTCAGCCTGACTAACTGTGTAAAGTGTATGTCAGGGTAGTATAAAACAAATGCAGTACATTTCTGCAATACATGCATGTTTCCCTATGTTTTATTCCCTGTGGACCTGCTAAAATGCAATTATTCCTGTTGTGAGTTCACAACACACAATATTTTTGTGAATTAAGTGGTGTCAGAAAAGTATATGTATCTTGCTGTACTCCTTACCGGATTTCTGTAATAAATACAAGTGGGTGCTTGCAGTGACCACGGTTGGCGCCGTGAAATAGTACGTAAATATAAAGGATGTCACCAGCACACCAAGCTGTTTGTGTTTAGCAAATGTCCATTTTAAAGACAAATGTTGTCATTCAATTGCAAGTACTTTTTGTGGCCTCGCAGGGTCCCCTTATCAGGCTTCTGCTGAACACAAACAGCTTAGTGTGCTGGTGACATCGTATATACAGTATCTAAGTGGTGTCAGCACCCTGTCTAATTTTCTTTTGCTAAACTACTCAGCCCTGCCCACTATACCATCTCTACAACATAAAGGTTAATCATTCTGTAGTCCCATGACAAGAACTAGGAGATTTAATTATCTTTCTTGCAATAACACAAGAAGTGTGCACATGACAGCTCTGAATTTCTGGCATGATCAACAAATCAAAAATATAATGTTAATTCTCTAGTAAGCTATGCCCATCCAATTTATGATGCTGAGAGACATACTTTGGGACATTAGGATTACGTCTGTACACTCTACTGCTCTTTTGGGCCAGTGGTCTGCTAAACTGGCTCTGCCTCGCTTTAAACCAAGGTATTTTAAAAGCTTTTCTGAGCCACCAATTTTTTATCATAAAAAACACATATATTAAATATACTTGTTAAGACAGTTAAGTACCATATCTGCTTTCAGCTTCTTTCTTCTCCTGCGATAGTTTAGCATTGTCTTCTTGTTTAAGAGCAAACAGCTTGGCAGCATGTTCCTCCTGGAGAATCCTTAACACAAAATACATTTACATAATGTGTTTTCAGTAAATATACTGACCAGATTTACAGGGATATGCAACAAGGAGTCTCATTATTGAAAGTGTCTAAAAGGATAATTATCTGGTACAAGCAGAAATCAAAGTTTTATTTTGACTAGCTAAATAAAGGAGTGAAGCCTATTATTTGCTATAAGCAGACAAAAAGTCTTTTTTTTTTTTTTACTATAAATGTTTTTGGGAAGTTTTATCATCATTTTGATTCTTAAAGTTTACAGAATAAACATCAATTGTATGCAAATTGTATTATTTGCACAAAATCTTTGTTTTTTAATTAACAAATACATATTAAAAATCAACATATTTAATATATTAACATATTAAATAACAGGTTGCCCCATGGCATTTTTTGCAGACCATTCTGGGCCTACTAAACAGAAAGTCCAGCACTACTTGTAAACTTTTTTTCTGTCCAGGTCTGAAAATCCAGTATTGACAGTGTAGTAGTATGACTCATTATGCTCATTGTGAAATCTAAGTTTGTTATTGAAGTCTGTTCACAAGGCAGGTTATTTATAGCAAAACAGTTAGGCTAGCCTGGTAAGAAAGGGGAAAGCAGCCTAGAGTCCCGCCTGCTTTCCTTTACAGCACTTTCAATAACGACATTCACTGATACAACATTTAAAGTTGATTAAACTATTCAAAGGAGATTGCTACAAAAGGAATTAATGAACAAAGAAAGTAAAAACATAAAACCACAAGAACAGCATAGAATGTATACCTGATTTCATCTTCCTTTTGTGTTTGTAGCTGTACAACTTTCTCCTCCGCCTCATGGGTCAGCTAGTGGGAAGAAAATTTATTTTTATTTTTAGCAAGTAATAATGAGCACAAAGGCATTCTGCAAAAATAAAACATTTTTCTTCAGAAAAGACAGCATAAGAATAGGTCCGCTTTCAGAAAAGTTGATATAATTATTATTATTATAGTTATGTTATTATTTATATAATTTAGGCATCATTTACCATAAACTTATATTTTACATAATGCTGATATTTATTAATTTGTTTCTTTTTTTTTTCTTGCTGAACCACACAAAAAAAAGAAATGAAAGAAATGTAATAACCTAACAGTATGTTTCAACTCAGCAAATTAAAATGACACATCACAGTGGAATTACTGTTTTTTATTATGTTTTATTATGTTTAAGGTTAACTAAAACATGCATAAAATATGCATTCAAAAAAGTATAACAAATAAAAAGCTGAAATTGGCAGGTGTTGGCAATAAAAGGAATTCTTTAGTTTATTAACATGACATTACTGTCCCTATGTGTTATTACCTTTTTACCCATTTCATCTTACAGAATACCTCTTTATGATGTAACGGTGTAATTTCCACCAGTCAAAGCATAACCTGGCCTTCAGCCAAGCTCTATTGTAGTGAAATGGAAGGAAGGAAAATATTTTCTCAATCTCACCAAAACAAAACTTGTCCCATGCATAGTTGTAGAAAACCAGCTTGAACTATGTACCTTGTCAACTAAAAAAGAATTGTGACTTTCAGGTCAGCTGGTCAGTTGGGTAATATTGTATAAAAACATGAAATTGGAGTTTGGATTAACTGATTACAGCGATCAACAAAAGAAAAAAAAAAAAAAGCACAATTGGATCTCCACAACAATCTTAGGACATGGGATTTTTTCAAAAAAAGACTTCCTAAATCTTATAAATGAAATCATTAATTAGGGTCAGTTCACTTAGATGTATCAGTTGGATTTACAGGTTTTTGTTTTTTTTGGTGAAAATTTTCCTTTTAAAATTGGCGATTCGTGAACATAAATATTGCTAAGGTACAGAATCATTAGCTAACTAAAGCCTATATCAATAAAAAAAACATATTTAGTAAATCTCTGGAATACATGCACATTTTCCCATGTTTTATCTCTTTAAACTAGGTGTAAGTACATACAAAATAACTGCTGATGTGCCAGAAATATAGTGTGCTCCTTATTCCCTCTTTACATTACAACAAATCCGTCCCCGGGCCCCGCTTCCTCTGCTATCGAAGGGCCCCGCCTCCTCTTACATCACTGGCCCCACCGGCTCTTAGGTCGCTGGCCATTGATGTAAGAGGAGGCGGGGTTGCTCTCAGGCGGGCCCCGCCTCCTTCTTTTCGAACACCGCTCTCATCTGCCGCAGCGGCTGGCTGTCACTGACATAGCTCCGCAGCGGCTTTGAGGGGAAATGTGCCGCGGCCACTGCTGAGCTGTGACAGCCAGCACCCTTACATGCCATAGCGACGCAGGCGGCCCTGGCCGGGCCCCCCTGTGCCCAGGCCCCATAGTGGCCGCCTGGGTCACTATGGCGATTGTTACACCACTGCCTGCAAGTCATTTATTAACAATTGTAAAAATTCAGCTTAAAATGCCTACATGTTTCAGAAAATTGTCATCCAATATGGCCATTGGATTGAGGAACATCCATATGACTGTAGCCTAGGGTTGCCACCTTTTCTTCAAGCAAAACCTAAACACTCTAGGGCTACGTGGCTTTTTTTTTTTTTTAGAATATACAGGAAAGAGTGAAGAGAGACAGCCAGGAGGGAGACTGAGGAGAGATAGCCGAGAGAGAGAGAGGAGAGAATAAGTTACACTGACAGCCAATGTAACAAAGGTATTCTTAGTGGCTGCCAATGAAACTAAGGTATATACACTGACCAGCAAAGTAACGGAGGTATATACACTGACCAGAAATGTAATAGAGGTATGTACACTGACCAGCAATGTAACAGAGGTATATAAACAGACCAGGAATGTAACAGAGGTATATACACTGACCAGCAATGTAACGGAGGTATATACGCTGACAAGCAATGTAACGGAGGTATATACGCTGACAAGCAATGTAATGGAGGTATATACGCTGATTACCAATATAACTGAGGTATACACACTGGCCACCAATGTAATGGAGGTATTTACACTGACCATCAATGTAACAGAGGTATATACACTGACTAGCAATGTAACTCTTAATATTTTTGTCTGTTTATGCTCTTACCAGGGGATAACTAGAAATCACAGAGCCCCATAGCAAAGGTTTTATGGGACCCCCTCCAAAAACAGAAAAAAGTGCCATTGAACAACACCCTGTCCAGGGGGTTACATTTGTGCCCCCCTCAGCATGCATTAATAAGTGGCAAAGGCAACTGAGCTGCCAGTATCTCTGGAGTGCTCTCTCTTCTATCCTCCGGTGCCTGCTTGCTTTGAATCAGAGCCGGAACTATCAGCCAGATGTTAGAGTACATCATTCCATGTCCTTTCCTGCACTTGCCCGGCACTGGCAGGGAGGAGGGAGAGGACTGAGGCGCAACAATAGCACAAGGAATGGAATAGAGAGTGGTGGATGAACAGCAAGAGACACCTCGTCGCTCCTGTCCTCATCAGCCCCCCCTCTGCCCCATACGGATGGCTATGGTGGTAGTTCCACCACTGGCTCTTACTTTCCTTCTTCTTTGCCCTTTACTCTACTTGTACAGACACCAGATCAGCTTTATGTACAGTGTATAATATTGAGCTTCTAAACAGTTAAGTATATAAAACTCATTATACCATTTACCTTCTGTCCCTGCCCTAAAGAAGAATACCAGGAATGTTCCTGTTGCACCTATACAGCCCAGGAGAACTGAAGTTATGTTCCATTTACTGGACTTCAGAGTAGACATGTGCGATTCGTTTCGTTCTGATTCAAAATTTGTACGAATTACCCGAACTTCGGACACATCCAAATTTTCAAATCCCAATGCATCCGAATCCAAATTTCCACCCCGTCCGAATTTTGTTCAATAACGAAACGGAATCGGACATGGGAGCTTTCTGGCCAATCAGATGTGTTTTTTTATTTAATGCATCTGAATGGGTCTGAACACAATTTTTTTCAAATTGTATTCAGGAGCTCCCAAATGCCATTTGGGTCTGGGAGCCTCACGTTTAGTTTTATGTATATATGGGTCACAAGGATGCCGCTACGAATATTCGTTCGTACTATAAAATACTACTTATATATGCATAATACTAAAACTGATGCTCCAAGACCTAAATGGAGTCCTAATTTCCGAATAGCATTCGAGAGCTACCAAATGCCATTCAGGTCTGGGAGCCTCAGCTTTAACCTCTTTATGACTGGAGACGTACACTGTAAGTCTCCATCGTGAAGTGCTCAAATGATTGCTCAGGTACACTATACGTGAGCAGCTATTCAGGGTTTTGAAATGCCGGTAACCGATGAGAATCAGTAGTTATCGTTCATTAATGGATGCCTCAGTATTGAGGCATTTATTAATTAAATAGTTAAGCTTTTGTAAAAGCGTCTTGCTTTCATCAATGAAAGAAAGAAGCTGTTACAAATACCAGCCATCTGGCATTTGACAGGTGAAATAGCAGAAGCAGAACATGACTCACTGCTTTTGCTATTTCACTTTTGACAGCTCTATAGATATCGGGCAAGTCAAGTTCAGCCAGAAATAAGAAACAATGTATTTCTTTTGCTGAAATGTATCAAACTTCTGATTGTGTACACATGGACCATACCTTAACAGTCTGAACATGGTTTAAGTTTCAATATTTCAGGTTTTAGGGACTATCTCAGCCCTAATATAAGAAAGCAATACTTTTACTTCGGCATCAAGCTCTAATGAGGTCATGGAAATATATCTATATGTACATATTTCAACATGTTATATAAGTTCCTTCATATATCATAATGTGCTTTCCTGGGTGTGTTTTAAAAACATAAAGACCTTGAAGTCAAGGAAAGATGAGGCAACTAAAATGTCCACTTGATCTTTATAGGCCTTTAAAATGTCATAAAGAGATTACAAAGAGTATGACATCAAATTCCTCAAGCGCCAAAAAAAACAAAACTTTCTTTTATTGCCTCCAAAACAAGGCCATTAAATTCACATTTTATTAAACTGTATGCTGTTTAGAATAAGCAATACACATTTTTGCATGCTGACGAAATTGCAAAACATGTACTGTATTTCCAAGATGAACTAGTTCAGATATTCCTTTCCTAAAGCCAGGCACAATTTCGAGTCTGCTCCTTGAAGTCAAGCTTTGATCAAAGGAGTAAATCAGGCCCGTCTTTAACGCAGGGCAAAAGGGGCAGTTGCCCTGGGCCCAGTTATTGTTGTGGGGCCCAAAGCAGCCGCCCCTTGAGCCTGCACTGCTCGCTCCCTACCTGGAAATGCGGAATGTCAGTGTCCCGTCCCTTCTCCCCCCTCACCCTCCTGGTTTCCCTTATCTCCCCAGAGATAAGACAGACAGCAGAGATCGGCAGATCAGGACCTGTGTCTGCTCTGCCTAGCAACTGATGACGCTGATGGGCGGGCTGTCATAATTACATACCTCGGCCCGCCAATCACATCATCAGTTGCTAGGCAGAGCAGACAAAAGTCCTTATCTCCCGATCTGCTGCCTGTCTGCAAGTAATAGCGGGGGGGGGGGGGGGGGGGGGGTGTGTTTGCCCAGGGTCCAATCAATATTAAAGACGGCCCTGGAGTAAATACAGAGAAGATTATGAGGCAGGTGGGTGCTGTATAATTTGTTGTACAGTGTAACAGTGGCGTTAGCCAAACAGTTAAATCAGAACTACAATTTCCTATCCTTTACAGCCAAGCAAATTGCCATTTTAGCCTTTATCTGGATTGCATTTGACATGGTGCTGCACATGTGATCAGCTATGACACCAGCTATTGACCATGAAGGTTGGCATACCCAAAGAGTAACTATTTTGGCAAACATTAAATTTGTGGGTAAAGTTCTGCCCCAACAACTTTCAACAGGCAATGGTACACTAAAGAAGAACAGGTATGATAAAAAGTTACAGAGGAAAACACACATAATGCAAAATTAGGTAGAGGATCTGTGTCCCATAGTGCACTTGACCAAAAAAGTACAACGAGTACAAAATAAAATCTTCTTTAGTTTAATTCTGATTGGGGAAGACAGCAGTAACTCAGCTCAATGCTAAAATTTCTGGCCAAAACGTATGCCAGTGCATGTGGAAACAAACATTTTTGAGGAATTGGAGTAGGTGTGAACAGAAAACCAGGTAGTAATCTTACACAATAGTGTTATCAGAGCTTGGGTAACTTGGAGGGTGATGACATGACCATCCATCAGTTGCTTGATGTTGATTAAAAGTCTTGACTTTTTTTTTTGTTACTATCTAGCAACCCTAAGAAGTCCGAATTACAGAATTCCACTCCTGGCCCATTGTTAGTACAATCCACCACAAAAGGAGGAACAAATGACCTTGTGTAACTCATGTAGCGTGAAGCTTTGGTAGCTATAGAAGAGAGATTGTCCTGCCTACAGAGGCAAGGAACTTTTACCATTAATGGGAGAAATAAGTTCCTTAATGTCCAATCTCCTACAGACAGTGCATCTACCCCAGAAGTAATGCTGTATTCCTGAGTGAATGAGAAAGACATAGACAACAGGTTATCGTGAGTCTGAGAATTCAGACTCAGGTGATATGATTGGTATAATCTGAAATCTGATTTCATGAAGTACTATATCATGGGGCTGATTTATATCTAGATGGCGCTAGAATTCCTATGCCTATGCTCCTTAGCGCCAGCTAGCAGCAGTTGTGTCGTGCCAATGGAATCCGCCCAGCCTATAGTTATAAATCAGCCCTATGTGTTATTACTCTTTGCATAGTCATCAGAGTATCATTTAAAATTTTTGGTAAAAAATATGTTCACTCACTCTTTTCCGTGTTTTCTGGTGTTCCGATGTTTCCTGTTCTAGCAGTGCAGTCAGTTTAGCAATTTGCTCCTGCAAATCTTCCACAAAACCTTGACTGAAAAATTAAAAACATTCTTGAAAAATGAAAATATACCTCTTATGTTTTTACACATATATATATAATTAGCTAGCCCTAAACCCTAGCTCCAGTTCTGGTGTGTCCATAGGAGGTCAGAACTGGGTTGTATTTAAAGATCATTCTACCATAGGCACAAGTGAATCATGAACTCCATTTATGACTCTTCATGCCCTTTGTGTTATTCGTGTGATTCAAACAGAAAATATTACATAGGAAACATCATGCTGCTAGTTTTATACAAAGTGCACCAGTCAACTGTCAGCAGGGAAACCGGAGATGGTACCATATTACATGAACTACAGTGGGTCTCAGAACATTCGACTTTAGAGATGCAAATGCAGAGTGAGCCTTGGGCCAAAGGACAATTCACTCCACTGGAGTTCACCAAAAAACTAACATATAGGTTTTTGGTAGACGGACCTTGAATTGAACTAATTCCTATATTACTCTAAATTCATATGATTTGCAGTCAGTACTGACCCTTTTTCCATCTTAAAATCTCAATGCACACTTTATATCTGTATAGTAAATACGGTTCCATCTCTTTTTTTAATTTATTTTGGTATATTGTGTCATGGTTCTTTAAACTTCAAGTCATCTAGTGCCCATACCTTATCAATGACTTTTCTTTCTTCTTTGTCTTCTGTGAACTTGTTTGCTCAATTTGTCTATGAGGGTTATAGTGAACATTTGAACACTTTTGTGTTGTCATATACTGATCATTATAAATTTCCCATGCAGTGCTGATTAGTCAGCCACAATGCGCAGCTTCTGAGCAAGAATGTAAATGATACAAATCACAGAAGTATGTAAGCTCATTGATTATCAGTGAATATGGAAGCAAAGCTAAGTCATGCAGAAGATGATATTTGTGAGAAGCACAAGATTTTATGCAAGCCCTAGACCTGCAAGCAAAAATAGAGCATAAAATCATCAATAGCTTATAGGACTATTTTGAATATGGTGATTGGGAACTAAAATCCTATGAAGAACATAACGATAAACTGTGTAATAATCACTTGATAAAGAACACTGAGGGGACTCTCATCAGTTTCTGCCTAAATGTAACTATCAATTTAACACATAACTAACATTTAGGAGTTCATATGGTGTATGGATGCTGTTCACATGGCACTTGCGCACCTAGGTTGCGCCGGTGAGTATAGAAATTTCCTATAGTCATGAGCACCATGTAGGTGCACTAGCGCCATGCAAACATTTATAATTGAACCCCGTAACATTCATCACTTAACAATCACCAAAGGCACCTTCTTCAGCTTTTTGCCTGAAAACAGCTGTCCATGCTCTTTTAATTTTTAAGAGAAAAAAAATCTAGCCTTAGTGCAGGCACCCCATAATGCCTTATATTACTATATTAGCTAGAAAGCCGTCTTGTGTATGCCTTTTTGGATTTTAGGACTAGGCCACACCAGCTGCCATTTACTTAGCCAAAAAAGGTGCCTCAGTACAGTAAAGACACTCCAAACAGCAAAGGGAACACCATTGGTAGGACTTGAAGTCAGTTCCCTGGTAACACAAACTAGCTCCAGAGAGGAAAGTAGCTCCAGAGAGGAAACTTGCTCCGGAGAGGCACACACAAAAAAGACAGTTTCTAGCTACCATAAATAGTAAAAGGCTTCTGGTGGTGTCTGCTGAAATTTTCAATGTTTACAATGACCCGAAATGTTAACTTTAACTAAATGTTTGCTAGATCCTGTAGAAATCAAGGAACAGTAAGGAAAACATTAACACCTACAAGTTTGTGGATCACAGGTTTCTTTCCTAGATGCACAAAAAGCCAGAATATACTAGCACCACCTACACAGATTTTGCTGCTGGATTATCTGAAATATAGTATCAGTTGATAATAGAAATTAGGCCAAGTTGCTGCTACAAATTTAACATAGCGTGTATATACATAAGATGTCCATGTTATTTCTGTGTCCCCAAATCCTGGAATGTTTTTCCAGGTGTAGCAATTGCACATATTGACGTCAGCACCAACTGCTGGTGAAACATGGCAAAAAATGGTAATACCTGTTGTACAAATGTATCCATGTGACAACAAGTAGTAATGCCTGGAGATCCCCCTTTACGGATGGACTCTGGGATAAGAAAACATGGTCTAAATGCAAGAAGAATAAGTATTCTTAGTTAAATCTTGGTGTTCTTTGTGTATTTATTTCACACTTGTGTAGTAATCCAGTATGAAGGTTTCTGCAGGAGCTTCCTGTAATAAAGACCTGCCACTGTTGCCTGCTGTCCTTGTGCAGGGTGACTGGTCTTGTATCTGCCCCTTCTGAGCCTGCTGAGTCCCTCCCACAGCTCTGCACTCTGCACAAGCTACAGGTGAAACTCGAATAATTAGAATATCGTGCAAAGTTCATTTATTTCACTAATGCAACTTAAAAGGTAAAACTAATATATGAGATAGACTCATTACATGCAAAACAAGATAATTCAAGCCGTGATTTGTCATAATTGTGATGATTATGGCTTCCAGCTCATGAAAACCCCAAGAACCCCAAATCCACAACCTCAAAAAAGTAGATTATTACATGCAATCAATAAAACAAGGATTGTACATAGCACAATATCGGACCTCTGAAAAGTACAAGCATGCATATGTACTCAGTACTTGGTTTGGGCCCCTTTTGCAGCACTTACTGCAATTACTTTTGCATGATATTCTAATTATTCGAGTTTCACCTATATGTATAGCACAAAAATTATGTCACTGCAAGGTAATACCTAGATTGCAACGCCATTTGGTGCACACCTATTGGGAAATATATTCTAACAAAGGTTTTTGTGCCCAGAGTTCAGCTTGATGGTTTCCTCCTGCCATCTTGAGCCAACAATAGCCACTGACCTCACCCAACCAATGCAATCATCCTTACTGCTATTGTTTTAGTTGATCATAACAAATGGTAAGTGCTTTTGTACATCTCCTTGAATGGAATTACAAAGGGCCACTTCTGTTTCAAGCACACACTCGGTTATTTAAATTCTGGAAAATCACTTTTGATTAGAGAAAGAATCTGCAGAAGCTGAAAGCAAGCAGAGCACACAATCAAGAAGGGCTGACATTTGGGTAATTCTTTGTCTTTTCAGCTTCTGTGTGATACTTACATATTATTGTCTACTAGTGATCTAAAAATAGAAAGTCAAAAACAAAAAGCACATTGTTTCTGGATTTACAAAAGATGCACCAACATAAATGGAACTTTGATTATGGTAGGATATGGCAGCTTGATTCATGCTGCATCTATCTGAGCTATTAAAAGCTCTTTTTGTAAATTTCTCCATCCATTTTCCTCATGAAACTTAATGTTCCCAAAGTAGACAATGGGATTATGACTTGTATGGCATGATTTATTGCATTAAAGGGCACTCCGCATTAAACAGAAATAGCAATCCTGCAAAGTTTTAGTGACTCCTTTAGTTTTAATTATATGTCCAAGGCTAGAAACAATTGAGTCCTTCCAAGAGGGACTTCGCACTACGAAAAGCAGCTGTGTCCTCATTGACTATAAAGTTTCTCAGTTAGCATCTCAACCAATAGGACAACATGGCTTGATCAGTTTTATACCCGCACGGTGGATCAAATATAAATCATAAGACTCCCATACCACTGGCAGGGAGGAGGACCATAGACAGTATATTATAAAGTGACAACTTATCTTTTTTTGTTTGCATATGTTTTTTACATATCTGACTTGGGTTAGCAAGTGTTAATCACAAAACAAACAACAAGGCAAATAGTTCCCATCTATGTACTGTGCTGCATAATATTGATTACTTTTACAAGTGCTAAATGACGACTATTATAAGGTAGCAAATCTGTGGCTAGCGCCTGCTGTTTTATGGCATGCCTGTATAAGGGCAGGTTCACACCTTTTTCTGGACCAGTTCTGGTCCGGAAAATGGTGTGAACCAGCCTGCAGTTCCAGTCCATTCCAGACCAGACAAATAGAGACATGCAGTACAGTATTTTTCTGGCCTGTTCTGGAACGGACTGCGCTGGTGTGAACAGAGGCCAGAAATAGCATAGGGATACATTAGTATGCATTTTGGGTCCGGAAACAATCTGGTCTCAACTGGAGATGATCTGGATGTGGTGTGAATGGGCCCTAAATGGTGCCGATAAGATTTACAATAAAGCCAAACAATGTATTATGACACAGTTTAACAAAAAGTGTCTGTAAAATTGTATTGTCCAATTAAAAGAAGTGATGTCCTACTGGAGTGCAATATTCATCCTCTTTGTGGTTCTTGATCGAGCTCCTGTGTAGGTTCATCCTGAGCTGCAGCTTAAGGCCAGTTTCCCCAATTTAACAACCTTTGTCACATGCTGAACACTGTATCATGTACACCACGTTAGCAGATGTGCATGAGTATGACCCCTTAATGGTGTACTCACTTATTGTGACTCGCTATAATTCTGTCACATATATGTTGGCAAAGTTTGCATCGGGGTTTATTGCATTGTACAGTGCCATTCTGTGTAAGCGCCTGTTCTGGGGTCAGCTTACTGCGTACCAATTTTCTTCTCAGGTTCAGTGAAGAAATGCATTTCACTGGGGAATTACTGCATTACTACCAAAACCTTTAGAGTGGTAAATAGAGTGGGTTTTTATTGCTATCCGTGTCCTCAGATTCACCACTCTATTTGCACTGGTGACTACTGTCATCTAGAAAGTAAGGGGAATTCCAACATTTGTTCCCCAAAGGTGGGGAACAAAGGAAGTAATCGGAATTCCCCCTACTTTGGTAGATTTTCTTTAACTTCCTATTGCACCTCTGGGACAGGAAGTGAAAGGAAATTTCACCAATGGTACACAGACAGCAAAATATAAACTGGCAGCAATCTGAACCCTTCCCTACTCTACCCTAAACTTGAAAATGTTTTGGCTATAAATACACTTTAGGTGATAATTCATAGGAAGGAAATTGTGTCGTTTGAGAGATGGTTAAACAAGTTGTGCTGTTAATCCACTATGACAAATACTGCATACATTCCCAGCTTTCTGCACACTCTGTATAAACATATAGCTCTCTCCAATTTATAGTTACCTAGGTGTGACTGGTGACATGGCACGGCCAAAAAACTGTTCATCCAATGTTACTTCAATACGGTCCTTGGTTCTCTTCATACTGTAGCCAGGTGATATGGCCAAAAACTTTTCAGTCTATAAAATCAAATACAGGTCATTTTGCTGTTAAACTTAAGATTACATGAGTCTGGTTTCATGTTATTTACTAGGAATAAAGAAATCATGTGTGTTTATTTATTTATTTATTTACAAAAATGCCATTCATTTCCTAAAGCTTGCACTTGTAGAGCAAAGATAATTGATACTGTACCAATAGCACGATCCTTTATTTGGTCAAAGCCTTAAAAAAGTACTTTTGCTATTCCAGTACATTTTGAGACACTAGGACAAACCCCTTTGCTTATGACAATCCTTCAGGTTAAAAACAAATTTACACACACCATACTTTGCCCAACATTGGAGTTTAATATTGATGGTAAAATGTAGGGATGCACCGATACCACTTTTTTAAGGCCGAGTACGAGTACCGATACTTTTTTCCAAGTACTAGCCGATACCAATTACCGATGCTTTTTCTTAAAGGGACCGGTCACATTTTTTCTAAAGCAATACAAAATCATGATTTTAGGTCAGTTTCTTAATATTATGAAGAACATGAACACTCTGTAGTGTGGCACAGCTATATCCAATTCTGCATACCTGGCTTTATATTATAAGAACTTTATAATATAAAGCCAGGTATGCAGAATTGGATGCAGCTGTGCCACACTATACAATAAAGATCTAGAAAGGATTGTCACCAGCACACCAAAAGTTTTGAAGCAAAAAGTCCTTTATTGACAAATCGCCATCCAATACAAGCCCTTTTCGGGGTCTCAGCAGTACCCCTTCATCCAGCTCAGAAGGAGCCTGATGAAGGGGTCCTTCTGAGCCTGATGAAGGGGTACTGCTGAGACCCTGAAAGCGCTTGTATTGGATGGCGATTTGTCAATAAAGGACTTTTTGCTTCAAAACTTTTGGTGAATGGAAGCCGGTCAATCATCCAATCAGCGGGAGAAGAGGTCAGAATGGAGCAGATGACTGAGGACTTGGAGGAGGAGTTCGCGGCCATCTTGCTTCATTGAAGACATGATGGGGGTCCTGTGTGCGGCGGATTCGGGTCCCTGAAGATGGCGGACGCGGCACAGGTACTCGTTTTTTGTATCAGAGTATTTGCACGAGTACTCATGCAAATACTCGGTATCGCCGCCGATACCGATGCTTGTATCGGTGCATCCCTAGTAAAATGTATTGCGTACTCACCCCATATGAAGCAAAAGTGCTAGCCAAATAGTCCTAATGCTGCACATAGACAAATAGTTATTCTGTTAAGGGGTCTAATAAAATAATGGGAGTGGTATGTTGTTTGAATTGAGTAAAAAATGGTTAAAACTCCAGTTAGGATTTCTTTTTCTAACATCTGATGGGGATTCTAAACCCTTTTGCCACTCTATCCAAAACAATATGTAAAAAAGTATTGAGTTTAGTTACACTTTAAAGTTTACCTAGAAAAAATAACCCCATTCTACTTTACCCTGACAGCTTCAGTTGGAGAAGCAATCAGTTCTCCTCCAAGTACTACTAAAATAGGATAAAGTAACTAACAATACTAACTTCCATTGATCCTCTGCACTTCAGGCTGGAAGCAGAAAGTCTTTGAGCTGGCCCTTTCCTACAAGTGAGAGAAGACAATCAAATATAGGGTGTCCATTTTACCTCAGCATCCACCTTACCTCAACTCCAAAGCATGTCTCCCCAATCTTACACTTCTATAGTCACACTCCAAATCTTTCTCAGTTCTCAGTTCAAACATTCATTTTTCACTTTTCCTCCACAAAAATGTCCTTATTATTTCTCCACCACTGATCATTCAACTGTAGCTTCTCCTTCTTACATTACTCCACCATTTCTTTTTTTTTTAAACGTAGGTAATTTTTCAGCTGCCCGACTCTTCCTTACATCTATTCTTCCTTATAAGCTATCCTTCACTTCCTTCTCAGTTGCCCTTCTGCTCCTTCCTTTTCAGTTGTGCTGCTCTTTTTTCCCTTTCAGTGCCTTCCTTCTAAGCTGTCCTTTTCATCCTTCTTTCTAAGCTGCATTTTTCTTACTTGCTTCTCAGCCATCCTTTTCCTCATTTTCATTTAGCATTCCCTTAGCTCTTTCCTTCTAAGCTGTCTCTTTCCTTCTTCCATCTTACTCAACCTTTTCCTCCTTTCTACTCATATGTCCTTCTGTTACTTTATTCTCAGTTTTCTTTCTGCTCATCCTTGTCAGCTGTCCCTCCCTTCATTTCCTCTTTGCTGCCCTTTAGCTCATTCTTTCTCCCTGTGCTTGTGTGGGTTTCCTCCTGGTATTCCGGTTTCCTTCCATACTCTAAAGACATGTTGGAAGGTTAACTGGCTCCTATCTACAGCCCTGTACATGCAGTATGCATGTGAGATAGGGACCTTAGATTATTAGCTCTTTGAGGGCAGGGACTGATGTGAATGTGCAGTATGTAAAGTGCTGCATAAATTGTCGGCGCTATATAAATACCTGTAAAAATAAATAAATAAACTGTCCTTCTGCTTCTTGCCTCCCAGATCTTCTTTTACGTCCTTCATGTTCCTTCTCAGCTGTCTTTCTGCTCCTTCCTTCTAATCGGTCATACTACTGCTTGCTTCTAAGCTGTCTTTCTGCTCCTTCTTTTTGAGCTGTTATTTATTCTACAGCTTCCTTGTGAGCGGTCTTTCTCCCCTTTCTTCTGAACTGTCCTTTTGCTCCTTCCTTCAAAGCTGTCCTTTTGCTCCTGAGTTGTTCTTCTGCTCTTTCCTTCTGGGCTGTCCCTTCTGTTCCTTCCTTCTGAGCAGGTCCTTCTGCTTCTTCATTCAGGACTGTGCTTCTGTTCCTTCCTCCTGAGCTGCCCTCCTGTTCCTTCCTTCTGAGTTGCCCTTCTTCTCCATCTCCTCCTTCCTTCTTAGCCATCCTTCTGCTGCTTCCTCTCAGCTTTTCTCCTTCCTTCTCAGCTGTGCTACTACTCCTTCCTTCTCAGCAGTTCTCTTCCTGCAGTCTTTTCTGCTATCTTTCTCACATTTCTCCCTCCTCCATCCTTATCAGCTGTCCTTTTCCCATTCCTTCTCAATTGCCCCCCTTTCCCTTCCTTCTCAGATGTCTTTTTCCTTTCTCCTTCTTAGCCATCCTTCCTGCCACGCTACACATGCTTCCTCTCCCTTCTGGTTAGCCCTAATTTTCTTCCCTACGTTTCAGCCTGTCTGTCCCCCCCCCCCCCCCCATTTTCCTCCAACCTTCATGGAGCCCTGCTTCCTTTCCACTGTCTTAGCCATCCCTTCCATCCCCTAATCATCCATGTCGGTGATCTTTTCTTTACAATACCAACAGTTGTCATTTATTATTTCCAACTACCCAAAAGTAGTATTTTCCTCTTTGAATAATTAGTCTTTTCTATTACTGTTTCTTGGTTCCCATGATGTTACAAGTTCTTATTGCTCAAGTGTCTCTAACTGTAAGATCCACAAAAACACAACTTAATAAAACATACTGGATAATAGTTACACAACGAGACACATATTCATAGAAGGAGTAACTTATTTGTTTGGAAAGTTTATTTTTTTCTATAGTGCATTGTACCAATTTCTGTAGTTATAGAAAGTAAGAAGCAAACAAGCAGAGCTTGAAGTGCATTAAGAGAACATACTTGGTAAGCATACATGATTTGGCAGACACTAGATTTCTTCCTGGGTCTCTGATTGCAGAAAATGCAGGAGAGGTCCTATACAAAGAACATACAATTAAAGCTCTGATTGTGGTAACATTGGACGAGCTTGCATATATGTTGCTAAGTAGATAATTATAATGTAGTTTTTATACTTGGTATCTGATTCCATTCAATACAAATAGCTAACAACGCCTGGACTAACTTAAACACATGATGTTTTCTAGCCATACAAGTGTGTTGAAATAAACCACTTTGTGATGCATCTGTTGTGAAGGAAAATTAAGCTGTAAAGTAATATAAGGTGATTTACTTCCCAACCCTAGGTACACATCTATGTACAGTAGTTACTGGCAACCTGCAATCCATCCACTTCTGTTTCTTGGCATGATGCTTTTTAAAGGTTTATAGGTCAGGTATCACAATACTGATTTACTGATAGAGTGCAACAGATAGTATTTTAAACAGCCAGGTGTTTCTGTTGGTAAACTGTCAGAAATTAAGAAAGGGAGGCTGACCTGTGGGGGCTGCCTGCCCACCAACATGCAAGAAAAATGTAAACATAGTTACAGGCAGTAAGAGTATGAAAAGCTGTACTCTGCACAATGTATGTGAATATATACCCACTCCCACCTCAACCTAACTACTGAACCATCACTTTCTCAAACACTTCATCCCCACACAGCTACCTACTCATGTATCACTTGCCCCTCCCCTTTAGATTGTAAGCCCTCACAGGCATCTTGTCTTGAATTGTGTTGTGATTGTAATGTCTACCTTATATTGTAAAGCGTTGCGCAAACTGTTGGTGCTATATAAATCCTGTATAATACTAATAATAATATATACTGTATGTTATACATTTAATTTATAGAAAGATTCATGAGTTGATATATCCTAAAATTACAGGAAAGCAGAAACATTCCTGATGAGTACAATTTTAACTAGTAAATTATGCTATATTAACCACTTCAAGACCAGGTGTTTAGACCCCCTTCCTGGCCAGGCCATATATACAGGTAGCCCTCAATTTATGCAGGGGTTAGGTCCCTGAGGGAATGGTTGTAGATAAAAACGGGTGTAAATTGAAACCCAGTATATCATGTAAGCCAATGAGAAGTAAGTGAGTTATGCTCCAGACCTTTCTCAAAATTGAGAAAAAGTAATAAAATACAGGTACATTATATTTAAAGCTGCTGCATGAGCTCACACACTGAGCTTTAAATAAACTGTACTTGTATTATATTATTTATATCAATTTAGGTCAATAAAAGAGGCTCGGAACCCAACTTCCTCACTTTCCATTGACTTACATTATTTACTGGGTTTCAGTTTACACCAGTTTCTATTTAGAACCATTCTTTGTTGTGGGAGAGGCCTGGAACCTAACTCCCTCACTCCCCATTGACACACTTTATATATTTGGTTACAATTTACAACACTGTATACATACCGCATATATTATATGAGATCACACAAAATACTAATGGTTTGGCCATAATCTAAATGTTATAGGACAGAAATAAAAGATTTTTATAGAGAAAGGGGAAAACAATCAAGGCTGATGGACTGATTTACCTTGGTCTATTCCTGTTTCCGTGAGGCATTTCCATGGAGCAGCTCCCATTTGTAGTCCCTGAAGGCACATATTGGGCCCAAGGAGATAGCTTGTCACTGGACATGATGCACAGAAATCAGCTACACCTTTAACAAGACTCAGAAGAGTATGGTACACTAAGTATAACTGTTTAGAAATGTTAACATTTGTATTAAATTCATTGATGAGACAGGTTATCATGCACTGATATGTTTATGAATGTTTAAGACTACCTATAGCACTGTAAACTGAAGTAAGGATGTATACTATAGAATTTAGCTCACGACGCACTATTTATTGAAATACACTGCTCAAAAAAATTAAAGGAACACTTTTTATTCAGAGTATAGCATCAAGTCAATTAAACTCCTGGGATATTGATCAGGTCAGTTAAGTAGCAGAGGGGGTAATGAAATTAACAACAGGCGCACTAGATGGGCAACAATCAAGACGACCTCCAAAACAGGAATGGTTTTACAGGTGGAGGCCACTGACATTTTTTCCCCTACTCATCTTTTCTGACTTTTTTTCACTAGTGTTGCATTTGGCTAGAGTCAGTGTCACTACTGGTAGCATGAGGCGATACATAGATCTTATAGAGGTTGCACAGGCATGCCAACTCCTCCAGGATGGCACATCAATATGTGCCAATGCCAGAAGATTTGCTGTGTCTCCCAGCACAGTCTCAAGAGCATGGAGGAGATTCCATGGCACAGTCAGTTACTCTAGGAGAGCTGGGCAGGGCCGTAGAAGGTCCTTAACCCATCAGCAGGACCAGTACCTGCTTCTTTGTGCAAGGAGGAACAGGATGAGCACTGCCAGAGCCCCACAAAATGACCTCCAGCAGGCCACTGGTGTGAATGTCTCTGACCAAACACTCAGAAACAGACTTCATGAGGGTGGCCTGAGGGCCCGACGTCCTCTAGTGGGGCCTGTGCTAATTGCCCGGCACCGTGGAGGTCGATTGGCATTTGTCATTGAACTCCAGAATTGGCAGGTCCAACACTGGCGCCCTGTGTTTTTCACGGATGAGAGCAGGTTCACCCTGAGCACATGTGACAGACGTGAAAGGGCCTGGAGAAGTGCTGAGAACGTTATGCTGCCTGTAACATTGTTCAGCATGACCAGTTTTGGTGGTGGGTCAGTGATGGTCTGGGGAGGCATATCTATGGAGGGATGCACACACCTCTACAGGCTAGACAATGGCACCCTGTCTGCCATTAGGTATCGGGATGAAATCCTTGGACCCATTGTCAGACCCCACGATGGTGCAGTGGGTCCTGGGTTCCTCCTGGTGCACGACAATGCCCGGCCTCATGTGGCGAGAGTATGCAGCCAGTTTCTTGAGGATGAAGGAACTGATACCATTGAATGGCCCCCACGCTCGCCTAACCTGAATCCAATAGAACACCTCTGGGACATTATGTCTCGGTCCATCCCACGCCGCCAGGTTGCACCTCAGTCTGTTCAGGAGCTCAGTGATGACCTGGTCCAGATCTGGGAGGAGATACCCCAGGACTCCATCTGTCGTCTCATTAGGAGCATGCCCCAACGTTGTTAGGCATCCATACAAGCACGTGGGGGCCATACAAACTAATGAGTACAATTTGGAGTTGCTGCAATGAAATTTCAGCACAATGGACTAGCCTGCTGCATCATTTGTTCACTTTGATTTTTGGGGTGTCTTTGAAATCAGCCCTCTGTAGGTTGATCATTTTTCATTTCCATCAAACGATGTGGCATCCGTTCATTCCTCACACATTACCCAGTCCAGTATACAGTAGATATCCAGCATATTTTTTCCCATTGAGATCTGATGTGTTGTCCAAGTGTTCCTTTAATTTTTTTGAGCAGTTTATATGTTCTATGGGAGAATTGCCTTTTTTAAAAGTAATCTTTGTTTCAAGTTTTTCCAGCGTTACAGGAAATCAACATAGAAACACATGTTTGTAGGGACAAACAAAAAACAAAACAAAAGGTCTCTGTACAAAATTGCATTGAAAGTGCCAAGAATTGCATTTTATGTTTGTTTTTCTTGAAGTATCTATAAACATAATCAACAAAACCTCACATAAGATTCAACATTTTAATGTACTTTCAAAAAATGTTTTCAATATTTTTAAATCTGCAGCCCTCATTAAAAGAATACTACTTGGTGATTCTACCATTACAGTCTATGTTCAGGCATTTCCTGTTATGGGTGACAACTGTCTCCCAGCTGTGTTCTGCGTTGTCACTAGAGGCTGCGGGTCCAAAACAGAATTGTGCATGTTCAGAGCTTGGCCAGACATCAGAACAATTTCAGGAAATGTTCCATTTAGTAGTGGCACTGATGCACCACTTCACAGGCAGGTATAGGACATCCCCCAAACATGTTATTTAAAAGGAATTGTTTATTTTGTAACATTGCCCTTTAAAGCATTATTTAAAAAGTTGTTTCCCGCCAAACTGTATTTTTTTAAAAACAAATCTTTCCATTGGAACATATTCCCCCGGTGCTGTGCCCAGCTACTAATGCAAAAAGCTTTCAAATTGGCCAGAATTGATTTGAAAGATTTGGATTCCTTTGACTTTATTAAGGTTCGGAATAAGTTTCAGAAATTGTGAGGTGTTGGGTGAACCCACCCTGAACCCAACCCAGGTACGTTTGGCTCATCACTATTTGTTACCCTCTCACAGACGCCCCTTGTTTTTAAAACTACAAGCAGTTGTGTTGACACAAGATTGTACAGGTATTGTCAACCTTTGTCAGTAAACTAGTCCAGAGCAATGATATGCAGCCAACACTGGAGTGACTGCAAATGTAATTAACAGTACTGAGCTCCAACAAAGGGTGAAAAGGTGAAAACAGTATTTTCTGGCAGTTTACGATGAGTTCTTTAACCAGCAAGTCAGTCACAATTTAGATCTGCTTCAACTATGTATACAAGAACTGTTGCTGAAAATGTTCTGGTCACAGCTTACTGTAATGCTTGAGAGATATATATATAGTACGACAGAAGTAGGTTATACAAAGTTACATATTGAAAGTTTTATTAACGTGAAGAATGTACTCACGTTTGCAGCAACCACAGAAACTTCTTGTTATCCATTAGAGATGGAAGGATTTCAAGTCCTGAAATCTCATACTGCTGCTTGAGCAAGTCAGGTTTACATGATCTCCTTAGAAACAATAAAGCTTCACTTCACTGGTTGCATTGTTACTCACTGCAGAGCAATCAGACCAAGTTGACTCTCCCCAGTTAACCTCTTTTGTGCCAGAAGGTATCTGTGAAATTAGATTTTCAGTCTTACACTAAATGATTGAAGAGATCATTATAAGCATTTTATCAAACTTTGTTCGTGTATGTGGTGTGCGGTGTGTGTGGGTGGTATTGAGAGTGGTAGTGGTTCTTGCAGATTCTGGTTTTGTTCTCATTTTCCGTGTTTTATGGTAGATTTTATTATGGACATGCAATGGTTCTTGCAGATTGTGTTTTTGTTCTAATAACAGATATCTAAATGGATTAAAGGAATATATAACTTTTTGGAACTTACAGAGGGAGATAAAGCAATGAATGACATGCTGGGCAATGTGAATTTCATGCAGGGTACATTTGCATTTTTTTGTAACAAGAAACCCTAATGCATACTGTATTGGAATAATTATATTTGATGTACAGATGTGCATGATATGAAGAATTGTAGAATGCAGATTGAAAAGTCTAGAATATTGCTAAGGGTGTGTACATGATTCATGGGAAGAAGGGAGAGGTCTCTAGAGATAACTGGTGGGAGTGTAGTGGTGCTGGGTACCAGATGATATAATTATTAATATATTATGATGTGATATGTGACTCTCTGTGGGACTAAGGGACCACACTTGAGTTGTTCACCCTTTAAAAAGACCTCTTAGGCTCACCATACACATTACAATCTGATTGTAAAATATATTTTAGATCTACCAACAACTGTGTAGTGTAGTGGCCTGCCTGATTGGATACAAATTGATTGGATAGATTAGGTAGGTCCTCATATTACACAGTTTTGGTAAATCTTGTTGATTGTACAAAGATAGTATGGCCCGGTTGTAATGTGTATACTAACCCTTACAATATGTTTTCTATTCACAAAACCATTAAGTATAATGAAACCTATGAGTTTACATGTGACAATATAAAGGCAGATGTGTTGTCAGCCCACCCATTCGCTTCGGCGAGCCACAAGCTGTTCTGGCTCTCCAAATATTGACGGTCCTAAAACAGCCACGCCGGAGAAACAAATCGCTACATGACATACCGATTAATCTGGCAGACCCAAATCAGTTGTATACCTTAGTGCACATAATAAACTTTAAAACTCTCTTAGGCTTCATTGGTCTTTCTGTCAATAAAGAATAAAAAAGGAATTTATATGAAAACTAAAAAAAAAAAAAACATAAATGGCAAAAAACAATGGAGAAAGTCCAGGACGTCATCAGTGCCAAACCAGAGGTCAGATGCTGAAGCAGGTAGTCAGCCGAACCAGGTCATAGAAAACAGGGAGCAGGATAAATGGAAATAATAGCCGGGGTCAGGAACCAGGTCAGTCAGCCAGAGCCAGGGTAATGCACAGAAAACAGGAACAACTGCAGAGCACTTGGTAGATCAGAACATACGCAACGGTGGAGACTCGAAGGATAAGCTAATGGTTAAATAGTGAGCTGGCGTTTGCATCATCTCTCTGAGACAGGAATTTGTCAGTAGTTGCAGAATGATGATGTTTATGGGTTTGGTCATAAGAAGGCACAAAAGAGGAACAAACAGTGTCAGACACAATGCAAACAAGCCATGCTAGAAGGAATGGGACAAGGAAGGGTAAGAAACCCTGACACTTTCTTATAGATTAGGTCATTCAAATTTTTACACAATTTAAAAACTTTAGAATTGTGGTTCAAACTACACTATCCCAACTTACAGAAAATGACATACTTCAGACTAACATTAAATATATTTTTAAAAAAAGACTAAGGAATGGTATACTCTGCCCTGGATCTAATGAGCAGAGACAAGAAAATTCTAAAAGCAGACCTAGCTTTGGATATATTTTTTCTTGTTAAATGTATGC